TATGTATGTACGTATGTATATGTATCTATGTATATCTGTCTGTGTGTGTGTATATATATATATCTATATATATATATATATATATATGTATCTATATATATATATATATATATATGTATATATATATATATGTATATATATATGTATATATATATATACGCGCACACACACGCGCACACACACTCACTCTCACACATACATATATATATATATATATATATATATATATGTATATATATATATATATATATATATATATATATATATATATATATATATATGTATGTATGTATGTATGTATGTATGTATATATATATATATATATATATATATATATATATATATATATATATATATATATATATATATATATTTATGTATGTATATGTATATGTGTGTGTGTGTGTGTGTGTGTATATATATATATATATATTTATATATATTTATGTATATATATTTATGTATGTATGTATGTGTGTGTGTGTGTGTGTGTGTGTGTGTGTGTGTGTGTGTGTGTGTGTGTGTGTGTGTGTATATATATATATATATATATATTTATGTATGTGTGTGTGTGTGTGTGTGTGTGTGTGTGTGTGTGTGTGTGTGTATATATGTATATATGTATGTGTATGTATATGTATATGTATGTATATAGCAAAGGTATAATGTTGGTGACGTTTAGATTAGGGGTTCTCAACCTTTTTTAGTTTGGGGCCCAACTCTTTCTCTGATAGATTTTTGAAAGCCCAGTTTATTTATTAATAGAAAAAAAAAATTCTACATATATATATTGCCAACTAGCGTTTCGGAATTGTTAATGCAGACCAACAGAGACAGCGCGCAGAAGTATAAATGCACAGCCACGCGCGTTGCATGCGCCGTGGGTTACGCCGGTCACCTGACGCAGAAGTATAAATCAGGCTTAAGGCTTGAAACCCCAGGGCTGAAAAGGAGTGATTAGTAGTAGTAGGAGGAGGAGGAGGTGTAGTTTGACGAAGTGAGAGTGTGAAATCATGGCAGTCTCCGTTACATACTATGGGACACAAATCACATTCATGGATATTTGAATGAAAAAATTATACATATCGTGGCTTTGAGTCACTGTTCTGTTAATTATGAAAAAAAGTAGTGGGGCATCACGGTGGCGCAGTGGGTCGATCAGCTCACAGCAAGAAGGTTGCTGGTTCGAGCCCCGGCTGGGTCAGTTCTCATTTTTGTGTAGAGTTTGCATGTTCTCTCTGGGTTGTTGTAGGTTTCTTCCAAGTTCTCCGGTTTCCCCCACAGTCCAAACACATGCGCTGTAGGGGAAATGAATAAACTAAAATGGCTGTAGTGTATGTTTGTGAATGCAAGAGTGTATGGGTGTTTCCCAGTGTTGGGTTGCAGCTAGAATGGCATCCACTGTGTAAAACATATGCTGGATAAGTTGGCGGTTCATTCCGCTGTGGTGACCCCTGATGAATAAAGGTTCTAAGCCGAAAAAGAAAATGAATGAATGAATGAAGTATAGTTGATCAGCCAAAGCAGACGTTTCCAGAAAGATTGCTTTGGCAAGCCACCTTACAGTACACTTCTGAACACACTTCTACTGAAGTTGTTGAAAATGAAATATCTGTTGTTTTGATTTGATAACCCAATCCAATAATATCTGGATGCAGCCTTTATGATGCAAGCTGAGATTGCATCACTCAGCGATGCAATGTCAGACTCGATGCACTCAATGGAGTGAGTGACGTCACTGTGACGGGTAGGGTTTGGGGCGGGGTTAGGTGAGCGCATTAAAAAGCATTGGATGCAGCTCAGATTGCACTGCACCGAGTCTGCAGCCAGACCCCTCACACCCAATCTGTCTGTCTGTCATCTCTCCTCAGGTCACCGCCGTCTACAATTCTTCTGCTGCTCTGGAACGCTACTTCAGCGATGTGACCATCAGCAGTTTCCAGTAAGTCAGATTCACACTCCGCTGTCACTTTACACGCCTTCTGCTCAGTTTTACACGCTGTGCTTTTCAACCCAATGACGTGTACGACCACAGTGCTGAGAAAACAGCTTTCATAATCAGCTGCTAAATTCAAATCTGCTTTCCCACGATGGCTCGAGAAAAAAGCTTGCTTTCGTCCATACCACAGCTTTCCGTGTGGCCCACATGAACCGTTCTCTTTAATAGCAGATCATAATAGCAGGTTTTACCTCTGCATTTTCCATACAGGGACTCCACAGCCCAGTTTGAGCTCCAGTTCATGATGCCGCCAGAAAATGAGGAGCTGGTTCGATATACTTTGAGTGTAAAGATTGTGAAGGGTGTGCTTCAGCAACACTTTTACGATCAGGACAGCAGAGAACAGCTTAGTGTCATCCCAACATCGCTCAGGATGGAAGGTGAATAAATAACAAAAATATTCCAGCTTTTAGTCAGTAATCGAAAAGATTATGAAATTTGTGTGTGTGTGTCTATATATATATATATATTTATATATATATATATATATATATATATATATATATAGTTGAAGTCAGAATTATTAGCCTGCCTGTTTGCACATTTCTAAACATAATAGTTTTAATAACTAATCTCTAATAACTGATTTATTTTACCTTTTCCATGATGACAGTAAATAATATTTAACTAGATATTCTTCAACACTCTTCTATACAGCTTAAAGTGACATTTAAAGGCTTAATTAGGTTAATTAGGTTAACTAGGCTGGTTAGGGTAATTAGGCAAGTTATTGTATAACGATGGTTTGTTCTGTAGACTATTGAAAAAAAATAGCTTAAAGGGGCTAAAATTTTGTCCATAAAATGGTGTTTAAAAATATAAAAACTGCTTTTATTCTAGTCAAAATAAAACAAATAAGACTTTCTCCAGAAGAAAAAATATTATCAGACATACTGAGAAATTTTCCTTGCCCTGTTAAACATCATTTGGGAAATATTTGTAAAAGAAAAACATTCATGGGGGGCTAATAATTCTGACTTCAACTGTATATTGAAAATAAATAAATATATTTAAATGTGTTTATAATAATTATTTTAAATATTTTAATATTTAATATATGTACAAAG